CTCCGTGAAGTAGTCCTGGCTGTCCTGGAACTAGCTCTGTAGACCAGGTTGGCCTTGAACTCACAGAGATCCACCTGCCTTTTCCTTCCAAGTACTGGGATTAAGGATCCACCACCACCCAGCTTAAAGGTTTATTTTTATATTACATGTATGAATGTTTTGTCTGCATACACGTTAAGTGTACTGAATGCATGTCCACTGCCCAGAGGGTGCTAAATCCCTTGGAGGAAAAGTTAAAAGGCAGTTGTGAGCCGAGAGCTGTGTTGGTGCTGGGACTGAACCTAGTTCCTCTGAAACAGCAGCCAGTGTTCTTAATTATTGAGCCAGGTTTCTCTGTAGCTTTGGAGCCTGTCCTGGAACTTGTTCTGTAGACCAGGCTGGCCTCGAACTCACAGAGATCTGTCTACCTCTGCCTCCCCAGTGCTGAGATTAAAGGTGTTTGCCACCACACCTGGCTGACCAATTGTTTCTTCTTTGTTTTCTTTTCTTTTTCTTCTTTTTTTTTTCCTTTTCTTTTTGACCAGTTGTTTCTTATGTGAAAGAACAACCGTGTCTGGGCAAAGGGACAAATCCGAGCATTTCCCATGATTTTTTTTAGAAACAGCGGCAAAAGGCAAATATAAGATTCTCCTTCAAGGAATTCTAGCAGTTGAACTTTTCTTGTCTTGTGGGTTGCCACAGCTTCCTTTAGTGGGAAGGGTGTTTATTACTGCAGAGCAATTATTCTCCTCCAGCAAAGACCTCAGGACAGTTCTGAATCCATCTGTCTAGCTACAAAGCTCAGGGGTAGAATGAGGCCCACAAAAACAAAGACTCACAAAAGAACCCCTAAAATGAAGACTAATTCTTTCTTCCCCAGAAAATGCCTGGATTTTCAAAAAGGCTTAAGCACACCACATTAAGTACAAACGGCAGCTTGTGTTGGTCACTGTGACAAGCATGCCGCTCAACCTCTGCGACCAATGCCATTTCTCTAGTATACAGACAGACAGAGGTACAGGACTGCTGAGTTAACATCTACCCATATACTTGAATCTTTAAGATCTACCTGCCACTGGACCCGAAACCCAAACCAGGTTTGTCCACTAAGACTAAAAATACCGCACGTGTATGCACAGATGGGCAGCTGCTCCCATGCTCCATCACTCGCTCACTGAGTCCACCAGTCCTCGGGAATTATCTGCTATTAATGGGACTCCATCTTCTAGGTGCTTTAAGGTTTTCTTATGTCAGGGCTGGGGATTTAGCTCAGTGGCAGAATGCTTGCCTAGCAAGCTCGAGGCCCTGGGGTTCCTCAGCACCAAAGGGAAAAAACAAACAAAAAATATTTTATGCTAATCTTGACATATCTATACCTGCTTTGGCTACCCAGTAGTATTCCTGTGAGCAATTAAATGAAAGCCCCAAATCATTGGACAAGCACGTGTGAGAATTACAGGGTAGGGAACACATATAAAATCACAGAGGTACAAGGTGTGGTAGCACACACCTTTGATCCCAGCAGGTAGATCTCTGTGAGTTCAAAGCCATCTTAAGATACATTAAGATCTGCCCCCCCCACACAGTAAAAAAATTATTATTATTATTTTTTTGTTTGTTTGTTTTTCGAGACAGGGTAAAAAATTATTTTTTGAGATAGGATTTCTCTGTATAGCTCTGGCTGTCCTGAAACTGGCTCTGTAGAACAGGCTGACTTAGAACTCAGAGATCCACCTGCCTCTGCCTCCCAAGTGCTGGGATTAAAGTCATGCGCCACAACTGCCCAGCTGAGATCCTGTCTCAAAAAGCAAACAAACAAGTCAGGCAGTAGTGGCACACACTTTTAATCCCAGCGCTTGGGAGGCAGAGGCAGGCGATCTCTGTGAGTTCCAGGCCAACCTGGTCTATAAGATCTAGTTCCAGGACAGGCTCCAAAGCTACAGAGAAACCCAGTCTCAAAAACAAACAAACAAACAAACACACACACACACACACAGACACACATACCCACCAAAACAAAACCCAGAAGGCTGGAGAGATGGCTCAGTAGTTAAGAGCACTGGCAGTTTTTTCAAAGGACCTGGGTTTAATTCCCAGCACCCACATGGTGGCTCACAGGGGATCTAATTTCCTCTCCTGGCCTCAAGGACACCAAGTACACATGTGGTACACAGGCACATAAGAAAGCAAAATACTCATACATAGCTAGGCATGGTGGCGCACGCCTTTAATTACAGCACTCGGGAGGCAGAGGCCAGCCTTTTCTACAGAGTGAGTTCCAGGACAGCCAGGGATAAAGAGAGAAACCCTGACTTGAAAAATCAAAAAACAAACAAAAAAAAAAAAAAAGAGTCCCCAAAACTTCATACACACAAAAAACTAAAATAAAAGCACCCACCTCCCACAGAGGTGTAGCTCTCCCTAGAAATCAGGAGCCACCATCTGTGTCCAACAGAAGGCTCTCTTTCCCCATGGAGTCTATCCTTGTTTCCAAACATCCAGTATTTTCACCTTTGAACCTAGGGTCCTCAAAATGAGTGTCCAAGGTCCATGCACACAAGCTGACTGAAAACAGATGACGCAACATGCTATACTGTGAGCTGAGAGACCACACAGATTGCCTAGACACGGGCCACTCTGCATGGGTGCCAGCTCCTAGCTGAGTTCACACAGCCACAAACTCCCAGCTTCTGAAACAGGTCCTACTGGTCCTCAAAGCCTAAAAGCCCCTCATCCCTACCTGTAGCCCAAAACACATGAAAATCTCACCCAGGTCAAAGGTGGCAACCTCCAGCCGGGCGGTGGTGGCACACATCTTTAATCCCAGCACTTGGCAGAGGCAGGCGGATCTCAGTGAGTTGGAGGCCAGCCTGGTCTACAGAGCAAGTTCTAGGACAGCCAGGATGGTTACACAGAGAAATCCTTTCTTGAAAAACCAAAAAAAGGGTGGCAACCTCTTCTTCATCACTGTCAGTCTTGCCTTCTTTCCTCAGCGAGCTCCCAGGAGTGGTTCCTTAGCCAGGGAGGGTGGAGGTGGAAGGCAATGTCTGTTTGATGGTCCTTCCCCCTTTTCTGTCCCCGTGGCTCCCACCTGTGTGTCCTTACTCACGATCTCATGGATAAGTTCATTTCTGCTTCTCTCCTTCTTCCCCCACCAGTACTCAGTCGGAATGACAAGTCAGCTGTAGGACCCAGCATCACAGGGCAGGGCTTTATGATCTTGCTCTCAAATTGTTTAACACTCCTATACACTTGAAACTGTAGATGTCTTTGCAGTTCGAGAGGAGCTCTGGGGTTGGCTTTCTCATACACAGACCACGCCCATGCATCTCCATCACATTGTGTCCTTACCGGAAATGTCTAGGCAAAGGAAAGCAAGCTCCAAGTCCTTCTTGGGGGCCTCAGTGTAAGACTTTAGATGCTGTGACTTCTGGGCTGGACACTGTAATTTTATCAAATGCATGATTTGCAAATCTTTTGTTTCAAGTAGGGGTGTCTCAATAGTTTTTTTTCCCTATGTTTTAAAATATTTTTTATTTTATGTACATTAGTGTTTGCCTGGATGTATGTCTGTGTGAGGGTGTCAGGTCCCCGGAACAGGAGTTATGGACACTTGGGAGCTTCCATGTGGGTACTGGGAATTGAACCCCGTTCCTCTAGAAGCCGTCTCCCAACCTCGTTTTGCTTCCATACCTTAGATGGGTGGGTTTCTTATTTGCTTTTAAAATGGTTTTGTGATTTCTCCTTTGTTGTTTAAGAGTGTGCTATCAAATTTCCAAATATTTGCCAATTTTCCAACTGCCTTTCTGCGGTTGACTTCTAGCTTCATCTCACTCTGCCAGAAGATTCACTCTGTCTGACGTTAGCATCTTAAAATGACTGCGACTTGCTTTGGGTCTAAAACAGGGTCTTTCCGGGCATGTTGCACACTCGCTTGAAAAGAATTGTAACCTGCTGTTGAAATGATACAAACTGGAGATGGGAAGGAAGTGGGAGAATCGGTGGTGCTGTCTTCTGCAGGTTCCGGTTAGACAAGCTGCTGTATGGTATCGGTTTACAGGCAGAAGAGAGTCGGTAATCTTAAAGATAAATCCAAAGATCACGTGTCTGAGGAACAGAAGGGGAAAGAATGAAGAAAATGGGAACAGAGCCTAAGACCCATGGGGCCCTGGAAGAATGCAGAGTAGAAGGCCGTGCCAATAAATGACAGCTGAGAAGTGGGACTTGGGCAACAGGGCTTTCTCTAGTGAGATTTCATGTGTGTGTTAATAATACGCCATGTGTATTAGCTACTTTAGGAGTTTTTTTTAAAAAAGATTTATTTATTATTATTATATAGTGTTCTGTATACATAATGTATGCCTGCAGGCCAGAAAAGGTCATGAGATCTCATTACAAATGGTGTGAGCCACCATGTAGTTGCTGGGAATTGGACTCAGGACCTCTGGAAGAGCAGTCAGTGCTTTACCCCCCCACACCCTGGAGACAGGGTTTCTCTGTAGCTTTGGATCCCGTCCTGGAACTAGCTCTTATGGATCAGGCTGGCCTCAAACTCACAGAGATCCACCTGCCTCTGCGTCCCAAGTGCTGGGATTAAAGGCATGCACCTCCATTGCCCTGCTCAGTCAATGCTCTTAACCTCTGGGCCATCTCTCTAGTCCCTAGTTACTTTAGTGTTGCTGTGATAAAACACCATGACCAAGGTAACTTGTAGGGGAATTATTTGGATTTATGGTTCTGGAAGGATAAGAATCAGGGAAGCCTGGCAGCAAGCTGCAGGCATAGCATCTGGGGCAGTATACTGAGACCTCATATCTTTTTTTATAGACCTTTTTTTAAAGATTTATTATTTATTTATTTATTTTTTTATTTATTAAAGATCTATTTATTATGTATACAACACTCTGCTTCCATGTATGCCTGGACACCAGAAAAGGGCACCAAATCTCATTACAGATGGTTGTGAGCCACCATGTGGGTGCTGGGAATTGAACTCAGGACCTTTGGAAGAGCAGTCAGTGCTCTTAACTGCTGAGCCATCTCTCCAGCCTGAGAACTCATATCTTAAACTTCAAGTAGGAAGCAGAGAGAACAAACTGGAAATGGCACCTAGCTTTGAAACCTCAAATCACAACCCTAATGACATAGTTCCCCTAGCAAGGCCACACCATCTAAACCTACCCGAACAGCATCACCAACAGGGGACCAAGGATTCAGTGATCTGAGCCTATGGGCAATATTCATATTTAAATCCCCCCAGCATTGTGCGAGTCAAGAGAACAACCTGTGGAAGTCAGTTCTCTCCTTGTAGGTTGTGGGGACTGAACTCAGGTATTCAGGGAAGGGCTTTTACACAGACCCTGGAGTTCCTATCAAAGGGAAATGCAAAACAAAGAGCTTCTTCCCTGTTTCTGAGCTGAACTGTCCAGTTTTGTTGTTGTTTTGGTTTGGTTTTGTTATTTGTTTTGATATTTAGCAGAGACAGGTTTCCCGGTGTAACCTTGGCTATTAGCTAGCTACTGGAACTTGCTCTGTAGGCCAGACAGATCCCAAACTCAGGGAGATCCACCTACCTCTGCATCCCAAGTGCTGGGATTAAATGTGAGCGCCACTACAGCCCAGCAAATTGTCCAGTTGTCCAGTTCTATGTTTTCTTTCTCCTTCCTTCCTTCCTTCCTTTCTTCCTTCCTTCCTTCCTTCCTTCCTTCCTTCCTTCCTTCCTTCCTTCCTTCCTTCCTTCTTTTTTAGAAACGGTTTCTCTGTGTAATAGTCCTGGCTGTCCTAGAACTCACTCTGTAGAGTAAACTGGCCTGTAACTCAAGAGATCTGCCTGCCTTTGCTACCAGAGTACTGGGATTAAAGCTGTGTGTCACCACACCTGGCTTAGTATGTGCTCTTAACTGCTGAGCCATCTCTCCAGCCCCTGATTATTATTGTTTAATCTTGTGTGCGTGTGTGTGTGTGTGTGTGTGTGTGTGTGCAGGTGTGAATGCAGGCAGCATCTTCTTTAGCTCCTCATGGTGATTATGTCTTAAAACTCAGTGTTTACTACACAAATACCTTTTTACCACAGGGAGGTGGGGTAAGAAAGGAAAAATGTCAATAGTCAAGAAGGAAAGGTAGCTGAAATTATACACAGTGCTTGGATCCATATTTTATGGTCCTGAACACAACAGTCCAGTCTCTTACTGATTTTCTCCCTTGCACTGAGCACCCTGCAGTCTTGCTTATGTACATACATCTGTCCCTGGGCATGCCCATTCATTGGCAGCTGGGGCTCTGTCTTGTTACTGGGTAAGGGCAGCACTACGTGGTCCCAGGCCGTCCATCAAGGCCTCTGCAGTGAATGACTGCATCCTCTTTTTTTCTCACTGCTGTTCTGTGAGGGAGGTGTTATGTTACATCCAGGTGTGAAATCTGAGGCTGAGGTGGGGGCACACGTGTCTGCTGTCCCACATCCTCCTCACCACTTTGCAACCACATCATGAACCTGCTCTGTTGCTCATTCTCTCTGTTCACTGGAGCCTGCATGTTGCTCCAGACAGCTGCCTACTGTTGTGCATGAGTGTGGTGTGCTGGGATTGACCCTCCAGCCTTGCACATAGCTAGGCAAGTATGCTACCACAGAGCTGTCCCGTTGCCAATCCGTTTTGCTCTTTTTATTTTTCTTTCTTTAATCTATCTATCTATCTATCTATCTATCTATCTATCTATCTATCTATCTATCTATCTGGATTTCAAGACAGGGTTTTGTAGCATGATTAATAAAAACCCAGAGACAGAAATTGGGGTTCCACCTGAAGGTCAGAAAAGCAAATCAGCCAGCCACTAGCTCTTACCTCTACCTCAGCCCAAAATGGTGATCCTGCCTCCAGGAATCCTCAGAATGAGACTGTGTCTGTAAACTGTCTCCTCCTTTCTTATATTCCTCTCTAGTGCTGGGATTAAAGGCATGCACCACTATTGCCTGGATTCTATAGCAAACTAGTGTGGCTACTGGGATTAAAAGTGTGTGTCACCACTGCCTGGTCTGTAAGGCTGATCATTGTGGCTGTTTTACTCTCTGAACTTCTGCAAGCTTTACTTATTAAAATAGAAATGAAATATCACTACAGGGTCTCTCTGTGTAGCCCTGGCTGTCCTGGAATTCACTCTGTAGATCAGGCTGGCCTAGAACTCCCTCTGTAGACCAGGCTGGCCTTGATCCATTCTGTGTTTTTAAAGGACCTTATATTATTGGGTTTGTGCAAAAGGCTTAAATGGCTTTCTATTTCGGGGACAGGAAAAAGAGGAAAGTGATAGAGCTCTGTTCCCAGCCCCACTCCCTTTTGTGAAAGAACTTTTTGTTTCCTCCTGGTGAAGTTTATCTCTTCAAGGTCAGACTACAAGTGTTTGTTGCGAATGAAATGGGCACTCACAGCACGGTTGAGGCTGGCATTGTCACCTCACTGTCCGTTTACCCCACTGTCACATGGTCACA